CTTATTGCGATACACAGAATGTTATCATGTTATAGAACTACTTATTGCAATACACAGTATGTAATCATGTTATAGAACTACTCATTGCGATACACAGAATGTAATCATGTTATAGAACTACTCATTGCCTAGTTCTATAACATGATTACATTCTGTGTATCTTTATTATAACACAAAATGTAATCATGTTATATAACTACTTATCACAACACATAAAATGTAATCATGTTATAGAACTACTCAGTGCGATACACAGGATGTAATCATGTTACAAAAATTATTTAATAGCTTTACACTACGTACTAACAAATCACAAACGTGACTGCACTTAATTTTGAAATAATTCTTCTCAGAAGAATATTACTCTAGAAGGAAAACCATAACGGGAAATGTTCTAATAATTTCTGATCACTTTACAGGCAAAGTAATCATTTTATATTTTTACAAATGCTCGTAGACTTCCATATATAAATAAATCTTATGTTGTATAAATATTAGGAAAGGAAGAAAAATATTAAATCTGCGTAGTAAAAAAGCTGTTTGGTGGGTCTTAACAATGAGATGATGCTAAAAATGGTTCTATAAGAAACCGTTCCTGCATCTAGTGTATGCAGAATTCAAGGCTCTCAACTAACTTAAGTGGAGCAAGCAGAAAATAAATAAAGACTACGTAGGGTTGATGCAGATGTACACACTCGTAACTGGTATTACTAGATCCTTTGTTGTGAACCCGACTTCCACACAGGGTAGTGACATTAATACTGACATTTTTTTTGTCATTTGAAACTAGGTTAACAAGAAGTTAGACCACAAGTGGATTACTTGTCTTTTTTTTTCTTTTTTTTGGGGGGGGGGGGGTCTTTAACTGACAAAAGTTCTTACGTTTGCTTGTTTGTAATTAAGCACAAAGCTACACAATGTACATATATCTGTGCTCTGCCCACCACGGGTATCGAAACCCGGATTCTAGCGTTGTAAATCTGCAGACATACCTCTGTGCTACGTCGGGGGGGGGGGTAAGTTTTTATGACTGGTAAATAAGAAAAAATATTAGATCAGAAATAGCGAATCTTTATTATCATATAAATAACGATTTACTTAACGCGTAATTTAAATTAAGAAACCCAAAGAGAATAATATAGATAAATAAGCCCCAGTGTTTTCTTTTACTCAAATTTACTATAAAGAGTTTAGGTTATAGGTCTGAAGCACTGTGGATAATTCGAAAATTAATAGATATATATAATTCTTGTTTATTATTCTAATTTTAAGTTTCAGGATTCTTTAGGATCTAATTTACATAATAATAGTTATAAACAATTAAATCATCCTCAAAGAAAATTAATTTTGTTCCAGTACATTATAAATTTTCATCCATTTGAGGTAAACAATCAGCGTAATTCAGCGATCTGTTTTTGTTTAACGCATGTTATTAAGAATTCCTACACAATCCCAAAACTTAAATTATCTAATAACTTTACACTACGTACCAACAAATCACAAACGTGACTGCACTTAATTTTAAAATAATTCTTCTCAGAATAATATAAATCTAGAAGGAAAACCATCACGGGAAGGAAATGTTCTAATAATTTCTGATCACTTTACAGGCATATATTTTGTGCTATCGCATGCTTATGATGCATATAACAAAAGAGTTGGAAATTTTCTATGGTTTTATTATTTATCACGAGAATTTTTTTTCTCCAAATTTTATCATCATTGTCACTTTGTAGTAGGCACTCTTTATGCTTAATTATAAAGGACCAGATTCGAGAAAAAAAAATCAGAATTCTTAATTCATTTGAAATCAAATTTCAGTTCAGGTAAACAAAAACTGAAATAATTTATTTAACGCGATTAATTGCTACATTTATACTTATTAAACGTAGAAGTTTTCCTGGAAGTTGCTTAAAAATAAAGGTAAACATTAACCAACAGAACAATATCAATAGCTTAATGGCGCTGTTTACAGCTTACTTTCAGGAGAAACAGGTTATGAAAAATTATTTCTACACTATATAGTTGGCCATAACTTCTGATAATTCAAAATAAACTACAAAAAAGAATTAAAACATTTAAACTTCTGAAAGTTGTCTACTTATTATGATCTTATAATGTACACGCACTCCGAAATGTTAGAAAGTAATTCGAAAAGGAATTTGATAAAGTCCAAGTTAAATGTAAGTGAGCTAGACATTTCTAGTTATATGCTGACGGTTTTCAGTGAAGACAAAGTATTAGCAAAATGTACAGTAAAAGTTGTTTTTAATACTTCAGATTTTCAAACTATCTTAAATGTAAGAGCACATTATTTATTTTCTTCACACAAATTGTATGTATATGTGTGTGTGTACATATAAATATATATATATATATATATATATATATATATATATATATAGCAACCTAAGTTAACTGTTATGCAAAACATGTGATCTGATATGCACATTTCCGTTGTATGTAAGAGCGAAGGAAATACTGTATTTCATATTTAACAGTTTGAGCAACATCAAACTGTGTAAAGCTTTCCAGGTTGAGAGTGAAACATGCCAGACCCTAAAAGAATATATCTAGACATTTTCATGATGTGAGGAATAATTGGTTAGTCATTGTAAAAATAGCTACAAGTCACACAGAGTATGAACTGGCTTTCAATACAGTTGGCTGAAAATTTGGGCAAGACAGATCTACGTTGAGAAACCCGCGCGACGACCGCTGTTTGACTGTATGGACTCCATGCAACCGGTGAGCCTCAGGGGTGTAAGGAACATGTGCATTAATCAAACAGCACCAGAGTGAACATCTTGCTCATAAACAAATCAAGCTTTTCACTACGCCTTTGGAGGGTAGTTGGGACAAGATCCAGTTTCCAATTTCACGAAGGAAAACATGTATATGGCGGTGTTGACATACCGATCTAGACAGGGATTATTACTAGAGGCCACAGTCACCTTCATGTGCTACGTCGTATCACAGTTAATGACGTAAGATAAAGGGATGCAACCTTAGAATCATTAATGTTGTTGTATGCAGGTGCAATTGATAAAGACTTTCCACTACTAGATAACGCGCACCATGTAAAACAGATTAGCAACTTTATGATAGAAGAAGGCTTAGGGTAAACAGACTAGCCAGCATGCTTACCAGAAGCGAAACCAATCAAACATGTACGAGATATTCTGAGGGCGCTTTACAGCACGTGATTCAGTTCCAAACACTGCCGACAAACCGGTAGCAATTCTTTTGGAGGAAGAAGCCACATTACAGCTCCTTGATTCACTCCTTTTAAACGTGCCACATTTATGTACTAAGTAATCATATGCCTTAGTTACGAACGATTGCAAAGTCTGTAATGCTAAACTGGAATTTGTGGACATGAACTCTAACAGTAAACATTTGCATATTACACCACATAACTAGTTATCTGATACTTGTTTGTGCATAAATATTAACTCAGGGGTATCATTGATATGATTTAATAATATTACTTGTAATTTGTCATAGATAGAATACAAGAAACTCTGATTATCACTTAATCACTTTGAGAAGTAAATGTACAAGCCTTTTCTCAAAGTCGTTTATTATAAAGTCAATATCAAACAAACATTGTTCTATTTGTTTGCATTGTTCTATTATTTTGTAGAGGGTTGAGTAACTTATTAAAACGATTTTGAATAAGAAAATCAGAAAGTCGCGTGTCAAACACAGGCAATATAAAATCGCGATGGCCCAAGTTGATCCACATTCCTTTGTTTTCCAATGCGATATCACCATCTTGGAAATTCTAAATTTCCGGTATGAACATATGTTTATGATCTGTTTGTTATGATTATCAGTAAAAATATCTTTGCTAATGACCAACAAAGGAGAAGAAACTATTGTAAATGGCTTAAACCAAACATTAACTGGGGTCTTGAAATGTTGATTCCGTCAAAAGTGGTCAAAGGTTCGATCAGTTCAACCATATCATGCGAAGCACGTGTGACACACAGAACTATTATCTCTAACGCATACTGGCAGCACAATATGTATGCAACGCCAAACAACGTCAAGATGCAGTTGCAATGCATTCTTTTACACCAAGATCACCCAGAAAAAGACATGCAACAAGCCGTACCTCAGCGATGGTTAGAAAAGTGTGTTATCTTGAAACAGGTGAGGGTTCATGAACACAAAGTTAAAGGTAAAGACAAAATGAAACGGGTATTCATGTTATTACAAACGGAGATACACCGGTCAAGTCATTGAAAGTAACGTCTAAAGATTTTTGTGTGGTCGTACTGTTGAAACAGACGCTAGAAAACCGCTTTTCTTCTTAACTAAATGACTTATGGAAAGCTTGAAGGAAGAAGTGGTGTGCTTTGTACATGACAGATTTGGTTTTACAACAGAGCTTTTTGCAATGAAAACCATGCTGCAGAGCTACTGTCAAGATGCACGGTCGTCAAATATAGCATAACTTGGTTTATATATATATATATACTTTTAAGTCCGTAATGTGCGCTGATAATTCATTTAACTGTTGCCTTTTAATTACGGAATCCTCAGAAATATTTGCTGGTAGTAATGAAAACTATTAACAAATTTCTCTTTACTGACTTAAGTGGTGTCAGAGTTCTGTGAATTGTAGATTTTGTTCAGTAATAGTAACAATGGCTATATTGATTTTAGTACTTTATATGATATCGGAAACTTTTTTTTTGCTCTACTTTTTACAAAATATTTTCCGTATGTATATACAAAAAGGAACATTTACTCGGTGTACATTCCACGTGTGATTCACTTGGGGATCAACATGAGTACCTAATGTACCTCTTCAAAGCCATTTTAATTTGCAGTTATCCACGTGTAACTCTCTTAGTAACAAAAATACCATACATACTTAACATTTCAGCTTTATTAAAATATATAAAAAAAAGATGTAATAAAACACAATTTCCATGATACAACATCCCACCTGCGGGAATCACTGTATAGACACAAGGTTCTCGCTGAATTCCCACATCATTGGTTGCCCAGCAGAGCAAAGAGCCGAAGTCTTGGTTATTCCTGGGAGTAAAAGTGGCCATGCTTGATAAACCGTTATTTTCGAAGTTGACGATCTCCAATTTTTCCAGAGAGTTGTTATAATTCCAGCGAAACGTGACCTCCGGAGGATCGGCTTCTACCTGGCACAGAACCTTAACTTTGTCGTATTGAGGAATCCCATACGTTAGCTTCTGATCAGGTTTGCACACTGGGGCGTCTAGCAACAACAACATTAACAGGAACAAAAGAAGGAATTAGCAGATAACTGAACTTCCCTTTTTATTTGTATCCCCCCCTTTTCATAAAACATCGCGGAAAAGTGAAATAGTTAACCATAATTAGATTCAAAATATCGTAAGCTCTTAAATAAATCTAATTGTGGTTAATCATTTAAGAGCTTACAATATTTTGAGTCTAATTGTGTTAACTATTTAAGAGCTTACGATATTTTGAGTCTAATTGTGGTTAATCATTTAAGAGCTTACAATATTTTGAGTCTAATGGTGGTTAATTACTTAAGAGCTTACGATATTTTGAATCTAATTATGGCTACCCAAAATATCGTAAGCTCTTAAATAATTAACCACAATTAGACTCAAAATATTGTAAGCTCTTAAATGATTAACCACAATTAGACTCAAAATAGCGTAAGCTCTTAACTTACACATCACTACGTTTTAGAAAGAAAAATTGTATTGATGGTATTTCAACGAAACTTTGTTCTAGATTGCTGCCGAAGAGATGTCCATTAAGAAATATCACATGTCATTAGTAGTATTATTGCTATGTGTCATCACATATTCGATTTTCTCTGGCATGCCACATGGAGAAAATAACAAACATGATCTGTATTTAACAAAAAAGTACCCAAATGTCACTAGCTAGAAGATTAGAAAGGTTACAAATTTGCAGACGTTAATTACGTCTGACATTCGTGGTTCAGAAACAATTACATAACATAGTTGTTGATTTATTCCTCATGGTTTTGTTTTGAAAGTATACACCCATACCTGATTGTCATTAATCTGTGTTTTTATGTTTAGTGTGAAAATTATTTGAACGGCACCCGCCACTCACTGCATCCTTAGATAGATGTATATGCACATGTGTGTATATAATTTCTTAAACGTTAATGAAAAGTTATAAGATCAACATTAAAAGTAATAGCAGCCTAAATGAGTTATTAGTAAGTAATAGCAGCCTAAATGAGTTATAAGTAGGAAATTACAGACCACCATTAATTAATCACAATTACTTAGCTCAAAAATAAATTACCTATATTAAGATCTTTCTACTTGAATTAAGCCTCTTTATTGTTAAGCTAACATTGGTGAAACAATTATTCAGACCTAACATCATGAATTCGTTAGCTAAGTTTCTTGTCTCACAAAGATTTCGAAACTTTACAAACATATATAGTTTAGTATATTATTGTTTAAATAGTGCTTAACGAGACTGGGGGTTAATGAATATTTTGAATGAAAAATAAATACATTTATTCTGTATATGTGGCATTTAAATCTAACGTCAAACTTACAAGTGTCAATAAAAGTTGGATGTATTGTTATTAATCATTAGCACACGAAGATAATTTTTTACTGTTTTCAGAACAAAAATATAATTCTTACATTGCACTCGGAGAAAAATGGCGTTGCTCTCTCCGTACCCTTCTGGATTTATTGCTGCGCAGAGATAGTGCCCTCTACTGGACCGTTTCACTTTTTGCAATACCAAAGACTGATTACTGACTATGATACCAGCTGATGTGTTTGTTATTAAGTCTTTCCTCTCGAACTTCCACATTACCTCTGTAACCCATGGGTTAGCCCGAATTTTACATTCTAGGTATACGTCATTATCTTCCTGAATGTGAGTGTGACGTAGTTTGCTGCCTAATCTCAGGCTGAGTTGGGGAGGATCTGAAAAAGTAAATAAATAAGTAAGAAGAACGATACGATGTAAGTCACTTTTAAAATATATCCATCGTTAGTGACCGTTCAATATAAGTTATGGAAAAGTTTAACAATTCTTTTTGTTTGTATAACTGAAAATCGATTAGTTAAGTAAGACATTCTGCGGGAAGGTTTATTCAGCCTAGCTGGTTTGCATGAAAGCTACAGATAAAATGGGTTGCCTTGAGTGCGATTATTAAGGTTATTTATTAATAAATTGCCAATTCAAACAACATATGATGAAGGTGCAAAATTTAACATAATTCAGCTTTAAAAAAAGGGGGTGTGTGGAAACATATGGCTGTAGCCATGGAACTATATATTTATTAAATAAACGGTCACCTAAATTGTCATATTCAGCGATGTTGCACTAAATATATTTATTCACCTCTGGCTCGAGACACAAACTCGTGAAAAACGTTTCTCATCCGTGTAGAGCACATGCGCCCAACGCCGTTGCTATCATTCTGGTATTTTGGGAGAAGTACAAACGAGTTGTACGACGTATTAAATCAACTACAGAGCTGAAACGAGTTTTCTCGTTTTTAAATCAAGCTGATGAAGTCTGTTTCGTGTCGACCGGTCAGTGATAATCTCTTCAAATGTTAGTCTATTGTTCATATTGAATTAATCTTCAGATATGGATTAATAGATAGCATAGTTGACCTTTTATGACCTTTTTCATGTTGTCTGGTCTATATACCCGTAGACCGATCCACTAACATTTGAACAACTCTGAAAGTCTATACTTCTGTCAAAATCAAAACGCCACTACCAGCATGTAAAAGTTGTCGTAAAATAAAGGAAACGAAACGCGTAAAAACCCCAAATTAGAAAGTGATCATATCTGAAAAAGTAATGGGAGAACTATTTATTCAGGGCTGATAAATAATACGTGTGTGTAAAATGCACCAAAAACAGGACGTATGAAACGTACACATAATTACCGATATTTTTGGAAATTATGTTTATTACTTGTTGTGACCGTTAATACTTTGTGTAAGATAATAGAAAACAGATTTTAAGCATACACCGAACAATTATCTAATGCAATGGTTTAGATACATTTCTCTGTGAACTTAGATTTTATAATATTACATTTAGAATTGACGTATCACAATAAAACTGAAAACGAGTCGATTCATTGAAAAATTATAATTAAAAAAATCAAGATATCTAATAAATGCACAATATCTAATATACTTCTAAATTATTATTATTCAGATACACGGTAAAAAAAACAAAAAAAACATATCCTCGAAAATGTAATTACGATAAAAAATGCGAATACATTCAATACATTTTCTGTGTGACAGAAATAACTAACCTAAATAGTTCAAGCGTTAAGAAATAACGCCTTTAGTGTGTTTTATTTTAAATCATGTTAAAAGTAGGGGATTTAAATAAAAAATATCTGGACCAATATTGATCAAAATGTTTACAAATTTAATCACAACCACACTCAATATTACGATCCCGCAGTCTTTTATGTTATTGACCAGATGGTGTTCTAACTGGAAATATTTTTCTTCTATTGGAAGTTATGTTCAAGTAAACTTTCTCGAGATATATTCCAAAAACTTTTATTGATTGTCTATTAAATGTAGATACTAAGTAATGTACCATTCATACAAGTGAAATACTGTTCCGGTAATGCAGATGTAATACAAAAGTATACATGAATTATTTTATTTATTTATTTGGTTATTTGTTTGTTGTTTTTTAAAAGTAGAGAGGAAATATTTTATGTTAAAAATTGTTTGTTTGTAATTAAGCACAAAGCTACACAATGGGCTATCTGTGCTCTGCCCACCACGGGTATCGAAATCCTGTATCTAGCGTTGTAAGTCCGCAGACATACCGCTGTGCCACTGGGGGGCTTAGGTTAAAAAAGCTGAATTTTTCTTGTGTTTATGTTCATACCATTGATATTTAACATTAGATCTCAGCAAGTTGCTAAAATCAACAAATCTGAGTGGTACTTAGACATTTTTCTTTTTCGAGGAAAACATCTGATCTTACCGTGCTCATCGAAACCCAGAAGTCCCCCGCTGGAACAGCGGTAAGTCTTCGGATTTACACTGCTAAAATCAGGGGTTCGATGAAGACAGCAGATAGCCTGATGTGGCTTTGCTATAAGAAAACCGCACACAGAAAACGTGGGTTTTATTTCATGCGCCCTTAATTTGATGTGTTATAATGAACCTCTACTGTTTTATTTAAGCGCATTATAGGTTCCAAGTATATTCTTACAATGATCTATTGGTTTGTTTGTTGTAAAGAACAGGGCAACACAATGGGCTCTGTACTCTGCCCACCGCAAGTATCGAAACCCAATTTTTAGCATCACAATCCGTCAGACTTATCGGAAGATCACAATAATAGAGTCGTCTGTTTAAAAACAGCTATCAGGGTAAATAAGTTTTTCTAATTTAATGTTTAATTTAAGTATCATTAAAGTAGGACTTTTAATAAAAATGTATTTTTTTCTTCTAATTTTTGTGTTATGTCAACCAGCGTTTCTTGAAACAAATATTGTGGCAAAATATAAGTACTACCATGATGGATACGCTATCTTAACTGCTTAAATTATTTTGTTTCTGTAAATGTTTCCCCACGAGCGAACATGCTGGCTAAATTCGTTTTTTTTATTTAAGGATTAAGTAACAAAAAAAGTTTTTGTTCTTGTCCCTTGAACGCAATGCTTCAAAGCAAACCCAAATAACTTCCTATACTGAACGCAATGCTTCAAAGCAAACCCAAATAACTTCCTATACGGCTGGCTGAGTTTCTGAAAGCAGCTAACAGTATGGAAAATTGAAACACGTGGCAACCTTCAGAACCACCAGTTTATTATCAACATATTTACACGTGTTTTCTGATCGAACATTTTGCACAAAAGTAACAAGATACTGTACCTACATACAGAAGAGATGATGACTGTTTGTGAGAAAAGCCACATTGGGCTACCTGCTGTGTCCATCGCGGGGAATCGGGCCCTGGATTTTAGAGTTGTAAGTCCGTAAGCTTACCGCTGTACCACCGAGGGAAGAGCCACATCATGTTATTTTTCAAATTTTTAGCTAAAAAAGTTATAATACTTATGTAAAGAAGTTTATAAATCAAAAAGAAGGCTCCCTGGTGGTTCTATTAGACTTTATAAATCTTTAATGTTATTGTACCTCGAACGTTTCGAACTTTTCTGTGCTGTATAAGAATTATATTTATGATAAAAATCTCATTCACAAAATGATTTCTAGAGAAACAAATTTACTGTAATTGAAACATTCCATTAAAGTTTTATTTATACATACGTCTTTACTTACAGTGTACTTCAAGTTTCAAGCTGTCTTCAATTGCACTGTTTGGCATCAATGGATTCACAGCTCTACACGTCATGAGCTTTCCGCTATCGTCGCTAGAGGGCTTCATGGTAAGCACACTAGAAGTGTAGTTGCCATCACCAGAAGACCTGGTCTTGGTTCTCCGGAGCTGGGTGTTTCCTTTCCACCAAGTAATTTCGGCAGGAGGACGCGAGCCCATTGTCACACACTCAAGCTGAATGGTATCACCAGTGGAAAGGGGTTTCCGATCGTTTTGTATCCTAACGGTCAAAGGTCTAACTAGAAGTGGTTCAAGAATTCCATTGGTAGGCTCATTTTTACTCGATATTCGACTTAAAAACGAGATACATATTATGAATTTCATTAATAAAAGATAACACATTATATTTTAAAAACTGAAATTTTTAGACATCCTTGTACAAAATAACATTGAATCCTTAATTATATTCAGTTATTTATAATTGTATTCTATCCATTTCATTTCCTTAATAAAACTGTTATAGTAAGTACATTTGCTGCCTTTTTATATAATATAATTACTTAAGAGTCCAAGAAAGAATGCTAAATAATTATGATACTAACGAAAAAACAATAAAAACATTGAAAATTTTACTGCTCGAGTAAAGTTTCAAAAGAATATTGAAAGCTTTTTGAATAAAATGTCCTAAAAATCCTTGTTGATTACATAATCTGCGTAAGAGCCCATAAGTTGTACATTCATAACTAGTACAGCATTCACATAACACAGAGGTTAAGTACGGTTTGCTAAAATGATTTTGGAGTCTTTCCACGTCGTTACATTCTATATCGCCACGTCCGGTCATGTTCTATCTGACCACTCTGCATCTTAACGATAGCCCTGTAGCGTAAATTTTATTACAAAAGGCTGTCGTAAGGTTTTCATGGCCAAAGGTCACTACTGTTCTATACATTCTTCCTATATCTTATGTAATATGTGAGAATGGTGTTTTCAACATTCTGATCGCATAGAAAACAATAGATGATGTGTCTAGCTGTTTGGCCAGTATATGTTTACGTGAAATAGCATGAATACCAATTTCATTCTCCAGCTGTCTGAGGTATGCGACGATTGAACAGATATGTCGTGAAAGCAACTTGTGTTATATACTGTTGTCTATGGGGGGGGGGGTACGTTGATGACTTTGTCACTGACCTTTCTCTATCACAAGATGCCGACCTTTTTTCATTATAGCTTGAGTACGACTTGACATGGGTCTATTTCTGGTTGTTCCTGGTGCCCTAAGTTGATCCACATTCTTTGTTTTCCAATGACATTAAACACACTGGATATCCCCGTCTTGAAAATTATAAACTCCTGATATGAATACATCTTTTGGTCTGAAGAGTATTAATATCTTGCGTAGGAAAGGGCTTTACATACACTTTTCAGAAGTGCCCAATTTTCGGTGGCACCGCAGTACATAAAAACGCCAAATAATGTCCAAATTTAGATAGGCTATATATCGTTCCACTACGACTTGTTTGTTGTCGTTGCAACAAGACTTGCTTATTTGCGTATTCAAACCCGTTTTAATATGACATACTCAACTCTCTTTAGTTACGTGCACCACGCCTTGTCATACCTTATTGGCTCCTTGTGAAAATACAAAAAAAAAAAATATGCAGCCTAACTCCGCCAAAATGCATTTTATTCTGAGTTGGTACTGCGTTTTTAAATTGGCAATTTCTGCATTTGAAATGTGATTGGAAATAAGGTGGTTTTCCTATTGAATAAAAACGTAAAAAATATACTGTGTTTTCTCTCCAGGTACATCTTTTCCTTAGCTTTGTTCTTTATTATGATTCCAGATCACATTATTCCAACAGAAGGTATTCTTAATACTTCTTCTGGTAAGAAAATATATAGAAAATTCTAAGATTCATTATGATGAAGATAGTTAAAGAAGGGATACGTCCAGAGTTGGTAGCCAAAACGATTTTTCTTTTTTTGTGGGAATTTGCTTTACAACTTCATTCGAGCACTCAAAGAGATGAAGAATGGTTTGGCCATACACGCTCATCTGTCAAGCGTGTAGAAATTTTCTTATTAGAAATGATTAGACAGGATGTAGTAGAATACTAAAAATGTTGTGTTATTTCTTCAAATCATGATATATCATGTGCATAGGATGGTAGATTTAAATTATGTGCAACAGAACCTTAAAGTCAACTACTAGTACAAAAGTTTTTTAACATAAAGTTTTACAGCTGGTCGTCTGCACTTTGTCTACAGGGGGAATCGAACCCCGGATTTTTTTATCGTAAGTCCGAAAGCGTATCTCTGACTCACTGGAAGACGTTAGCTTAAAAAAGAAAAGAAAGAAGTTTGCTTCTTCAAAAATGCTGAACACTGTTATTGTTAAGCACAAACCTACCCAAAAGGCTATCTTTGCTCTGCCCACCACGGGTATTGAAACCCGGTTTCGAGGAGCTAAGTCTGTAGACATACCGCTGTGCCACTGGGGATAGGCTTCAAAAATGCATTGCATAAAATTAACTATTTAAAATATAATTTTTAGTCACACAAATAATTGAGAAATAATTTTTACCACTGCCTGTGTTTTAACTACCATTTCTTGCGTTTACTTGTTATTTCTAGACATTTAAAAGAAAAATAAAAGAATGAATTCGTAAACATTTTCCTGAAAAGTAATTCATAAATAAGAGTAAGAGATGTTTTAGCTCATGATTAACATGGTGCCTTGAGAATCGTTTTCAAGTTTAATTAAGGCGAGGGTGCATAAAAAAATGTGTACGTGTTTTAGTTGTTTAGATACGCGAAGAATAGATACTTAATAATGGTAAGGAAACAAGATTCTTGGAATTATTGAATTTCATCAAAGCTAATGTTAAGGAACGTAGTGTAATAGTTTGTTTTGTTCTGTTTGTTTTTTTCTCCTGGAAGACTAACGCATGTTACTTTCAGGTCAATATTGCACGTGAATCTATCTGTTCATTTTCAAATACTTAAAAAAGACGGCTATACAGAGAGATATGGAAAAAAATGTATACGTAAATTAACAACAATTGAGCAAATTAACATTAGCCTAATAACACTACATTAATTTGATGAAACATATATATATAATTTCTAAGCATTTTGAACACTTCTGCTTTACATATAATATAAATTCAAGAAATTCTTTTGCGTATAAATCTGGCATACTAAGTTTAACTGTAGTAAAACCTATTACAAAACGAGTTTACACCATTTCAAAACTATTTTCACATTAAACTTTCGGTCCTAATAACGGACCTAAAAGCTTGTTACTAAAATAGTTGTCACGTGGTATAAATCTGGCATACTAAGTTTAACTGTAGTAAAACCTATTACAAAACGAGTTTACACCATTTCAAAACTATTTTCATATTAAACTTTCGGTCCTAATAACGGACCTAAAAGCTTGTTACTAAAATAGTTGTCACGTGGTATAAACCTGCTATATATCTTGTTTTGTACTTTCCTACGTTTCAAATAATATCAAGTAGGATTATTGTTTTGTTTTAGCCCAAAGTTACATAATGAGCCATTTGCGCTTATTCTACTACGGGGAATCGAGCCAAGGAATTTAACGTTGTAAGTCCATAAACTTACCCCTGACCTACTGGGGGAGTTCGAAGTAATTTGTTGTTGTTTATTATTAAGCACAAAGCAACACAAAGAGCTATCTGTGCTCTGCCCACCACGGGTATCGAAACCAGTTTTCTAGCAGTATAAGTCAGCAGACATGCCACTGTTTCAAAGTAATATTACCGCATGTTATTGAAACAGTGCCAATACATCGATCTCAATAGCTATTTAAAAATGAAAATAGGGGCAAATGTCATGGAAATACTATTTATTATTACGTATTATATAACATTAACATACTTAAATAATTCGATTTTAATTAAATATAGATAATTTATTATAAGTTTGCGGTACTTGATAAAAAAAATACAAACAAATGAAATTAAATAATATTCTATTTCTATAAAATAATGATGTTAAGAAAAATATTAAGTTCAAAAATTTCAACGAAAGATAAATATAAGAAACCCAATTACTCGAGCGCTTTCGAAATGTAAACCATTATTCATCAGTGCCCCTGATGAAGAAAGGCTTACCTTTAAAATCGCACACGCTGAATAATCTCTTATTTGTGTCTTCTATAAATTGGATGGTAGTCGTGGAAAAACTCAGAAGATATGCACCAGTGGAAATTGGATGGTAGTCGTGGAAAAACTCTAAGATATGCACTAGTGGAAACTAGAAGCTGCCTTTTCTTTCGGCAGTGAGCCATAAAAAGCTGAATAACATTCTCATACTCATGAACGATTTCATGATTCTTATAATCTAGGGTGCATTTATTCTCTGTTAATCATCTATAATCATTATTTGCATTAGTTGTTTTTTTTTGATGCAATATTTTTGCAATGATCTTTTTGTTTCACTGGCACATTTTTTTTTCATTTGCAAACACAGAAATTATGTCAACGATTTAATAAGTATCCTGTTTCGTTGCACATTTTTATTAACTTTTTAAAATTGTGCTGTTCCCTTCGATAATTTTGCAAGTATGTTTCAGGTTTTACTATAGTATATAACAGCAGAACCATATTTTTTTGTTTCTTTAAACAGGCCTGTTGTTGGCGGCCGATGTAATGTTTTGATGATTACCGATTTTACTGAAGTCTAGACTGTTCTAACACGTCTCTCTCTCTCTCTCTCTATGAGCATTGTTAAACTAAGATTCACGTGCTTTTAAGGCTCTTGCTGTTCGAAAATTCTTGTTCAACTCGAGATAGAAGGAAATAATTGTAAGTTGGGAATGATTACTACTCGTACTTACTCAAAAGCTTTTTCGGAAAAGACGATGTCTATCTTTGATCACTAGTGTTTCGAGGTTTGGTAGTTTTCCGTTATCACGTATTTGTGAAATAAACTAAGTTGACGAAGATCGATTGTTTAAATGCCTGAAGAATACGGTAAGATTTTCCTTTTTTCACAGAAGCAGACGTTAGAGATGTGTCCACCTCTCGCATAGAAGCTTATATATATCAGAAAATAGTGCACTTATCTTTTAGTTCCCGTATTAAAAGTTCACATGAGAAGTCCAGTTCAGTTGAGAAGAACATATCAGTATTCCGTCGGTAATTTCCTAAATATTTTCTTTCCATCAAAAATACGGAGTAGGCAGGCAGATTTCTAGAATTAACATTATTGAACATATCTTCGCTATGGCATAGTTACATCTGTTTCAAATTTAGTAGGAGTG